CTACTAGCGATGGCCTCCAACCTAAGAGCGATGGCCTCCACCGTAGTGGTGATGGCCTTCAACCTACTAGCGATGGCCTCCAACCAACCTAAGAGCGATGGCCTCCACCGTAGTAGTGATGGCCTTCAACCTACTAGCGATGGCCTCCAACCTAAGAGCGATGGCCTCCACCGTAGTAGTGATGGCCTCCAACCTACTAGCGATGGCCTCCAACCTAAGAGCGATGGCCTCCACCGTAGTAGTGATGGCCTCCAACCTACTAGTGATGCCTTCCAAGCTAATAGGAGGAAAGGGTATGCTCCATTTTTGTGCTGATAGGAACTGCTATATAGGTGACTGGGTGCTTGCCCATGGTCGAGTCTGAGCCTGTTCGGGTGGAAGCAACAGCATCCAGCAGACTCCAGACTCTAGTACGGATCTTGTCAACTTCGTTGTTGAATTATGTGCAATTTTTCTGTGCATCCATCTTTGCCAGCGAGTTTCATGTTCATGAAGGAAATCGGATTTTGACTCCACGGCTTGCGTTTCTGATTCTTTCGTCAGATGTCACGTGCGACGTCACGTGCGACGTCACGTGCCGCGTGCGTCACATTTGCCTTTGATGTGGCTGCGTCACCATGCGGAGGACCCTCCAGAGGAGGAAGAGCAAGAGGCCTTTGGACGTCGAAGTGGTGATCTCGCTCTTCCGGTCGTGTAGTTTTGAGTCGTTGGTTTGTTGGGCTTTGCATATCTGGAAAAGCCATCCTTCAAATTGAAGAGCTCCTGAAACTTACAGAGACACGGCAAGTGAACCGATTTTTCTCGTTTCATTTTCAGGTCCTTCATGAAACACTGAGATTGAACAGCTCGGCCAGAAACCATCGGTCCCGATTTGCCACGTGTCTGGCACACCATGTGTCGCTCTGTGCGCCAGACTGCCCCGGAGTTGCCGCCCGAGGCAGTGTGGCGCCCTGGGGGCAGAGCGGGGAGAGCCTAGAGCCTGGGGCATCGCGAGGAGTAACTATTACAAGTTCTAATGTTAAGTTTCCCTAAAAATCTAGAAACCAAATCATTAGTGCGTGAGCTATCCTGCGTCCATACTAGCTTAAGTAAGAGCTGCCTCTCCCTTCATTAAGTTGTTTTCGGGCTTTTCCCAAAACCCGAGACACAAAGGTTTCACGAGGAGTTTGTGTCGATGAGTCGACCTTGGTGGCGACCTTCGATGTTTTTGGAGCTCGTGCCAAGTGGGTCAACGTCGTAGCAAACCGTGAGAAGGAGGGGGTTTGATGAAATTTCACTCTGAGTAGTTGTACTTTACATGAACTAGTAACAAGAAGCTACTAGGAACAAAGGGCATCGGACTACTAGGAACAAAGGACGCTACTAGGAACATAGTGATTTACTTCCCCGTGAGGCCACAAGGTGATTTGGAGGATCTCTACTGAGCCCTAGATGAAAGACCAAGACTCAAAGACTCACTTCTTTGCAGACCAAGCACCGGTCGGAGCAGACCAAGCCGTTTCAGACCAAGCTGCGGGAAGCTGGGCGTCGTCTTTCGATCCGAGGCCTCGAAAATCCTTCAGGATTTAGACTGGGAGGCGAGCGGGGGCCGGGTGTGCTGCGGTCCGCGGCACGTGGAGTTCGATGTGATGCTGGAACGCCTTTCCAAAGAAAAACATAGAGCGCGAGAGACTCTGGAAGTGCATGTTTGTACGTTGTTAAGTTGAGTACCTGATGTGCCAAACTAGTATATAGCAAGAAGCTACTAGGTGGAGGCCATCGCTATTAGGTTGGAGGCCATCGCCACTAGTAGCAAGAAGCTACTAGTTCAGGACTACAGAAGGGTTGATCCCGACGGGAGCTTCATGTCGAGTCCAGCCACCGGCATGGCAGGTCTGTGTGATGCCTGCACAGAAGCAGCGATACTTCTACTCAAAGAGTAGGCGAGAAGTAGGTGTCTTTCTGCATCTGGGTGGGCAGCGACCAAGCGATTGCTCATCAGGTTGTTTGTGAATAAGACGATATGTTGCTTGTTTCCTAAGTCAATGATGCATCACCGGGTTTTGCTCATTTGCAGGTGCCCAAAGAGCTCCTGGCATCGCTACTAGGGGCTCCTGGCATCGCTACTAGGAGCAAAGGATGCTACTAGGGGCTCCTGGCATCTCGTTTTTCTTGGTTCGGACGACTTGTTGCAGGCGACAGGCGCGGTACCAGCCGCCCTACCACAGCATTCTGGGACTGGAGGACAGGATGTTGTGGGCATGGAGATTGGAGTGGTGGCCCAATGGTGTTCAGGTTTTGAAGACACTGTTTCCTCACATCCAAGAAACACACCAGCGAGGGTTGCTCAGCCAAACTCTAGTGTTCTTCATCTTGGGTTCATCGACCTAGGCCTTGACCATGGCAAGGCAAGAAGCTACTAGTAGCTCCTGGCATCGCTGCTAGGAGCAAGAAGCTACTAGTATCAACACCTCGTCTCAATTCCCTACCAGCCAGACGCCAAGAGCGGAACGGTCTCTGAAGCCAGGTTCAAACAGGGAATGTTCATCCAACCGAGTGGATCGAAAAGTGTATCTCGCATAAATAGAAATCAGAGATCAGGGTCCGATCATTTTTCTCATTAAGTTCCATAGTTGCCAACAAGAGCAAACGCATGCTTTACAGCCGGTACCTCCTAGCTTGTGGAACGCTCCGGGACGCACTACCCACTGCCCTGCGGCAGAAACTAAGCTGTATGCTGTTCCCAAACTAATAGCAATGGCCTCCCACATAACAGCAATGCTGGGCAGTGTTCCGAACCCTCTCTTGCCATTGCCTGGCCCATCAAACCAAGGAACCTTGAGACTGCCCCAACACTTCTGACGAAGAACCACCCCTCAAAAAGTTTGCAGCAACAGCAACACATATGTCTTTGCTTTGCTGTGACTTGGATGACCAATTCGGACGTTACGTTTGGTATATCTCTCCAACCCTCAACTTCTCTCACCATCCTAGCTTCTTGTTACTACTAGTAACAAGTGCCTCGCTAGTAGTAACAGGTGCCTTACTAATAGAAACAAGAAGCTACTAGAAACAAGTGCATCGCTTCTAGTAACAAGTGCCTTACTAGTAGTAACAAGGAAGCTATTAGTTGCGCTCTCACATCCCAATGCCGGATGCCACGAATGCCGGAGCGCCGCCGATGGATGCGCTGGCGACGGCAGAGCAGCTGGAAGAAGCCGCAGAGAAGCGGATCTCGGAGGGCAGCTGGGACTACATCATGGGAGGCCGTCCCCAAACTGCCAGACAGGATGCTACTAGGAGCAAAGGGCATCGCTACTAGGAACAAGGACGCTACTGGGGGCTCCTGGCATCGCTACTAGGAACAAGGACGCTACTGGGGGCTCCTGGCATCGCTACTAGGAACACGGACACTACTAGGGGCTCTTGGCATCGCTACTAGGAACAAGGACGCTACTGGGGGCTCCTGGCATCGCTCCTAGGAACACGGACGCTACTAGGGGCTCCTGGCATCGCTACTAGGAACAAGGACGCTACTGCGGGCTCCTGGCATCGCTACTAGGAACAAGGACGCTACTAGGGGCTCCTGGCATCGCTACTAGGAACAAGGACGCTACTAGGGCTCCTGGCATCGCTACTAGGAACAAGGATGCTACTGGGGGCTCCTGGCATCGCTACTAGGAACACGGACGCTACTAGGCGTTCCTGGCATCGCTACTAGGAACAAGGACGCTACTGGGGGCTCCTGGCATCGCTACCAGGAACAAGGACGCTACTAGGGGCTCCTGGCATCGCTACTAGGAACAAGGACGCTACTGGGGGCTCCTGGCATCGCTACTAGGAACACGGACGCTACTAGGGGACTAGGAACAAGGACGCTACTAGGGCTCCTGGCCTTACTACTAGGAACAAGGAGCAAGGATGCTACGTCCTGAGGATCCAGCGTGACAGGCATTCGACATGGTCGGCCTAGGCCAGAATGTTTTGCACATATAGGTGCCATAGAGGGCCCAAACAATGACCAGGTCCAGGGAATTTTCCATCGGAACTCCAATAAGCGGAGTAAACAATGACCCTCCCTGTGACGCATCTGTTGGGTTCTCCGGTGGCCTTGCCATGGGCTCCTGGCCTTACTAGTAGGAGCAAGGATGCTACTAGGAGCAAAGGGCATCGCTACTAGGAACAGGGAGGGGCTTGAAGTGGACCGAAGTCGGGATTTGTCGCTGAAGAATGAAGCTGATGTTGGCAAGCCTATGGGCCTATGGGTTGCAGAACCAGCCTCGCCGTAGTCAGCCCTTCAGCTGAGACTTCCTTCGACTAGTGTAGCGGACCATTCTCCCTTCGACCTACCCTTTTTCCATCTGGAAAACACAGATGGTTCTTAGATCGGTTCTTCATACCCCCTCAGTGCTGCTCCCTACTTTTCCATTCTTTCGCGAGGGTTGAACACATCGCCCACTGCACGCAAACTCTGTTCGCCGTTCAAAAGTTGATCGCTTCAAAAGTGGGTCATGTTGTGCCGCCTCCTGCGTGTGCCAGGGGAGGCAGACACCATCTGCCGGAACCGCACTGCCTTTGACCCCTGGCTCTTCCGACCCCGAATCCTGCGCGATGTCTCAGAGATAGGTGCACTGATGGGGGCTGGTGGGCTCAAGAAAATGGCAGAAAGCAAGAGAGGATCCAGACATATCCAGACTGTACGATTCCATTTTCTGATGTCTCCGTAGCTTTTCCTCTTATACTTATACTCTTAGTACCCTCTTGTGAACGGGTAGTCCGACCCAGATCCTCCCGGCCGCAGACCTGAGCTGTTCGCTCTTCGGTGCGGCGTGTGCCACGCCGATCTACTTGAGCTCCGTGGCCAAAGGAAGACTCGTGGACCCCAAAGGCGAAGCAACCTTTGCAACTTGGCACGAGAATGCGATTAGGACCAAGCTACTAGGGGCTCCTGGCCTTACTACTAGGAGCAAGGATGCTACTAGGGGCTCCTGGCATCGCTACTAGGAGCATTCTTACTACTAGTAACAAGAAGCTACTGGGGGCTCCTGGACTACTAGTAGGAGCAAGGATGCTACTAGGGGCTCCTGGCATCGCTACTAGGAGCATTCTTACCACTAGTAACAAGCAGCTACTAGGGGCTCCTGGCCTTACTACTAGGAGCAAGGATGCTACT